ACATTGGAAACTGTTATGAAGTTTCTCAGCATCATGCTGTGCTTCAAACGACACTGTCGTGCCGATGCCCCAATCACTAACACCTTCCCCAATCACTAACACCTTCCCCCAATTCACCGCGGACCATCACACACTATCCGCGCGCGTGTAAAAAAAAAATTTGCGGGTTCGGACGTAGGGATCGGCCGAGTGCGGGTTACAGCCTCAACTTGAAGTAAAGTTGATGCGGGTTATAGGCTCGCGAAGCCCGATTTATTTGCCTTTGCGGGTTACCCCAAACGGGTTTTTTCAGAGAAAAAACGGTAGGACACTCTTTTTACGTCGTTTTTTGACCTTGGGAAAAAAATGACTAAAAAGTGTGTCCTATCTTTTTTCAGGGGTGGCGCACAGCCACCGCTTGGCTCCTCACCCGCGACGCCAACGTCCACGTTGGCTATCCCAGGATGCATATGACGCCACTGCACATCGCCGGTTTTCCAAGACAATGCGCCGTATCGCTCCTTCTGCTCGAAGCGGGCGCGCGAGTTGGTGCCCACAACCGACGCGGGCAGACCGCGCTCCACTACGCTGCCGCCGACGGACACACGAACAGGTGCAAGCTCCTCCTGAGTCGCGGCGCGTCGCTCAATGAGACCGATTGCTACGACAGAGACCCCGAGGCTACCGCGCGATTCCTCGGGAGCACAGACACGGCCGAATTCCTCGCCGCGGTCCGCGCGGCGGGCGGCTGGCGCGCCTACTGCGCCGCGCGGCAGCGCTAGCTCGTCCTCCGCCGCGCGCTCCCCGCGCTCCGCACGCGCGGCGCCGCGGCCGAGTCCAGCGCCCCCGCTCTACGAGCGTCTCTTATTTTCGCCAGGATCTCCGCCTTCCGCCCCGACTTCTAGGCCGCGCCCTTAGGCGTCCCCGTCGTCGCCCGCGGGGATGGGCGCGTAGGCCCGGCGGCGGCGGCGGCCGGCGGCCGCGACCGTCGCGAGCAGGCCGAGGAAGGTCCCGATGGCGACGGCGACGTCCTTGAGGGACTTGGCGAGGACGAGGCCCGAGGGCCGCGCGT